CAAGATGGCGGCGTTTGTTTACATTTTGTAGGATACGACGCAGTTTTGATTCCCAGCCCTGAAATTCAAATGATATGTTTAGGTCTGTCGCTCTTTTTCAGTGGAGTTCTTTAATATTGATAAGAATATTGTATAAATTTATTTTAATACTTTCAACAATGATTAGGTTGGAACATAGACATAATTTAAATTATCATTTTTTTCTCCATTAAATTTTATCACAAATTTATCGTTAATAGTATGTTGAGATATGATTTCCAATATATTTTAGGTCTGAAACTGCTTAAACTGCTTTTGTTAAAAAGTATATTATCTATACTGAACTAACATAAATAGAAGAACATGTAATTATACAAGCAAACACATATAAACATGATTTAAATTGTTTATTCTTTTCCTATTTAAATAGTTTTTTAAGGATTTCTGATATGGGACTGCATGGTTAAACCGAAGCATTTAGCTAAATTTTATGATCATATAGTAGTATGTGTTGAATTGTTATTCCATTATGCATCATAAATTATATTTTGATGGAATATTGGTTTAACTAAATACTGTTATCGTTTATAAGTTATTGATCACTCCTAAATCAAATTGTGGTATTTAACGGACACACTTTTCAACAGGATCAGGTCAAGTCAATATATGTTTGTTTTGAATATTACAACACCGGATAAATCTCTCACCCACACCCTTCCTCATTTACATATCTTCGTGTTATTTGACGCGCTATTTACATGTTATAATTTAGCTCGCTTCAATACATAAAACCTGTCTTGTATGGTATTCAATTAATACCTAAATTATTTGAGAAGGAAAGATCTATCGACCGATCATATATGTAGAGCAAACCTCTCATTTATGTTTTACTGAAACACATGTTTTTACTTGTTCAATTGCCTACTACCCAAATGATTGGACGTTTGATATACAACAAAGTCACGTGGTAGTTTTACATTCAATTCGTTCTGAAATCCATTATTGATAATCAATAAGGTGTATCAAAAAAATGTAAATCTAAAGTTTAAAAAAATACCCTTTTCATAAGCCATTACATTGGAGATATGTCAAGATGGCCGAAAAAAGTCCGGGATAAACATTTAAACACATAAGAACAACTTGCGGTAAGTTTTAATTAATTAAGTCTCATTAATATACACATTTTGTGATAATGAAAATGTCATGTGCATACTAGAAAGCTCATTATATTTAATGTTTGATTGTTTATGATCATAGAAGGAAGTGACAAAAGTGTTATTATCTATTAAATATCTGTTTGGTAAAACAGTGATGGCATTATAAACGAAATATATTAAATACATGTGTTTTATACTTTTAAGGTAGATACGATGACAACTGAATTAACCTATTTTTACAATTTTAAGGTAGACTTGACATGATTTTTTACTTCTTCATTGTCGCGGGTCTGCTTACACTTGGTTTTCCTTAGGTGGACTTTGTTGGCATATGGTTTTGTTTGCCTTAGGTGGACTTTGTTGACATACCGCTTGATGTACCTTAGGCGGCCTTTATTCATACCTGCTGTATGTTTTGTTGTGTATGGTTCGGTTGTCAAACAGTTGCTTATTATATTATAATAGTGAATATCACATCATATTCAAAGGCTTACCAGTCAAAATTTGTTTAATACTTAAAAGTATTGATGTAAGAAAAATATTAATTGCTAATAATATATATATATTATTTATTGATATAAGTCAGTTGATGTTTTTATATGAATAGAAGAATTTTTTTTCAGAATTATCATACAAATTCATACACATAGATTATTGCTTTAAATAATTATTGGCGATTTTTCATTTATACATTTTTCATGAAGTTAAAATCTCCGTTTGTTCACAATTATACAAAAGATCTACGGACATTGTTCTTGCAAAGGGTATTCTGAGTAGTGTTAGGACTTTTCACTTAAAAGAAATCATGATAAAAGAGATTCTACTTATTTATAATTGACGAGAACAGCTTGTTACATATCAGAAACCCTTCCGGATATACCGATTTATTTGTTGTGATACGTGTTTCTTTAAAGACGTTAATTTCATTTCGAAATTTTACTTTGAAAAAGTTATAAATCGTTTTTGTCGATACAGTAGGCCATTTTGCAAAGGTTACAAAGTATTTTAATTTGTCAACGAATATTTGACTACTTTTGCATACATATCATTGATAATTTTAAATATCTGCCTTAATATGTTTAACTGCTTTATCACATTAAAGTTTGACTGATTTTTCCTTTTTATTTTCCCTTGGAAGTTTAACTTTCTTGTTAACATATCGGCCAATAGAGGTTTTATAGCTTTTTTATTATCTTAGGATGGTGATGCTTACTTACTGTATCAAAAATGTATTTTATTATTGAATACTTACCACAAATTTAGAAAACCGCCATAGCCTTTCTGTGTCAAGGTTTTATATCAAATTAACTATTCAACATTTAAAGTTATGTCATATTAATTATTTCCTTTGTATAAAAATCATTCATGTATATTCGCGCAAGAAGACTTATCAAAGAACGTTATATCAAGATAATATCATTCTTTCATAAATTAATCTCATGCAGTTACCTCAATTCTAAATGAAAATTATCATCTGTTTTAAATATATATTTTTCATGTCATTTAAAAGAATTAAATAAAGAAAAATTATTTATTTTCTTTAAATGCATTAATTTTCTATGATATATTGAACTTTTTTTTCAAATTATTATCGCTGTTTAACTTGTCACTGTTTTACTTCGAACAAAGATAGATATAAGTACAATACATGTAATAAACTATTTTGTTTGATTACGTCCCTTATATGTATTACCACAAATAAGTTTTTACTTTTTGAATTATTTAATGTTAATTTTTGATATTAACTTTAACCTGTTTTATTTACATATACATTCGACTGGCACAATCTATTGGCGCAGCCAATCTAAATTATGAAGTTTCAGACATGGAACTTACATAGAATATATATATGTTTTCTGTTTGGTGGCCAACTTTTAACTGTTTCCAATGAGTCTACAGCGATAAATATCTTTGTGAATAAGCTCTATTTATTTAAGAAATAATATATCCCAAACTGTGATTTTATCGCTCAATAACATCACTGTTTGGAGTTCGGATGCGAGGAATTATATCACGAGGGCGTAGCCCGAGTGATATAATGATGCGCATCCGAACGACAAACAGTGATGTTATCCAGCGATAAAATCACCGATTTGGATATATTATTTCGATTCTAACACGACATAAACAAATAAATGTTGTCGTATCTGCTATTAAGCAAAATTGCGCCTGATTTGTTTCCGTACTTATTGTCAGCGCGTCGGATTTTATAGTGGTTACGTCTCATGTATAATGATTACGTCACATGTCTAAAAATAGAACGTCAAACAGTGACTCTATTGCATAATAACACACACTTTCGGTTCTTCTATGTTCAATAGGGAAAAATGCAGGTCGTGTTAGAATATTGGATAATGAACTGTAAAATATGTCCCAGCTCTATGAAAAACCTTTATCAGGCGGACAATGAATGATACAAGGTTATCTTAACGAGTTTTGGTAGAAATTCGATATAGTTGTTTTTGTATGTCTGCAAACTTTAGTCTATTTCAATAAAATGAAAATACCGATATAAATTATTATGAATTTGTACATTTAAAAAAAATTACGTAGATCTATAATAACTTTGTCTATTGTATAAAGACCGGTAACCAAAATGTAAAAAAATATGAAAATATCGGGGTATTTTCGACACTCTATTTTTACTCGGGAAAAAGGGTTTTTAAAAAAAGGCGTTTGGGTTTGAAAATTTATAAATTTAAATTTTAATTTAAAAGGGCTAAAAGGAAAAAGAGATGGTAGAGGGCAGGTTTACAAAAATTAAAAATTTGCTTAATACGATACATGCATTTTATTGTTAAAGAAATGTTTTAACCCAAAGGGCATGGTATTTTTGAGAGGGTGATATAGGTAAAGGGGATGTTTACAAAATGAAAAAAACTGCCCCATGACAAAAATGATAGAAAAGGGGTTTAAAGAAGAAAAGGGTTTTTAAATTTTATATTTTATCATATAAAATGGGCAAATGAGATTTAGTATGTTTTGTATCTAAAATTTGGTTGCGGGAAAACGGTTAAAAATTAAAATAAAAAAAAATTCAAATTGATTATGTAATATTAAGAGCATTGAATGTATTTTTTTGTCTATAAAACAAAACTTGTATATATTTGAGTTATTGTTGTTTAATCTGACAAATTTGAATGAAATTTAATAAATAGATTTGAGAGATGATATCTAGAAGCTATTTGCTACGAAAAAGATGGTGTGGTCAACATTCATTTTTTTCGAAAAAAATAATGAATTTAATTAAATAAATGATTATTTGCCAAGAAATCAGTTAAGATGTACAGTATACTGTAAATAACTGAGAGACCAGCTGGGAAAAGTGTGATACTTTACCGAACTCTAGCATTTGTCTGAAAGAACTGGAATAAACTGGCGATCGAATATATATTATATCCCAAACGTTTACTCACAATTAAAAAAAATATAAAAAAAAAACAACAAATAGTTAGAATCTTTTTATCATCCATACAACATAACATTAAAAGTACACCAATTTTTGTTGAAAGTAGTTACGGGAAAAACTATGTATAATCTGTAAGACACTTTTTTCAATAAGTCAATGTCCAACATTCAAACGGGAATACAATTCAATTAAAATTGAAATATAGAAGATGAATGTACCGTATGCCCGCTATTATTTTCTTCATTTAATTAAGAAAACTGCAAATAATGCCTTCCTTTGGTATTGCGCTAAAGAGACACTTTCCGATACAATTGTTCACAAGCGTAAGGTAAACATTTAGTGTTTCTAAAATCGTTTTATAATTTAGTAGTGTTCAACGCTGTTTACGCCATGCGCTGTAAAAGTTGGAAAAGTATCATGGCGGAAAATAGTACAGTCTAGTTGCATCTATTTTTCAAAAAATAGGAAGCAATTACGGTAAGTATCTTAGGACGTTTGTAACCATAATAAGTTAATTTAAATCAATATACTGAATTGAGATGTTAACAGAATAACACAAAAATAAATAATGCGCTAAAGGTAAATTATTTTTTACAAAGTTTTTACAAAATATGTGTTTTATTTTGACCTAAGAATTGGTGAAAACGACCTCGTATGACGTCATAATTTGCTGACTGCACTGCCAGCATGTATTTACAAACGTATAACTAAAACATGTGGAAAGACAGAAACATTTCACTAAAAATACTTTCACCTTTATCATATTAATTGTATTTTTTCATCTTTTTACTAATGCAAAATCAATCGATGTTTATGCAAGCCTTAATTTTGCAAGTACAACTTTTGAAAAATCTTGACCAGCCTTTTTTCCGTTTCTGTCCTCCATTATAAAATGTTTAATGAGTGTCATGTGACAAAACTTTGAAAATGCCCTAAATATTCACTGTAGCAAAAGGTGTACAGCTTATATTGTTTGAAAACGTTAATTCGTTTTTAATTGATAGACTGAGTAAAATTCATAATGGATCAATTATTGTATATAAAGTTTAAAAAAGAAAGAAAAAAAAATCATTTCTTTAATCAACATATACATATCTTTACAACATCTTTCATTTTAGATATATTTTTCAGCTCTGTAAGCTAAAAAACAGATGCTATTAATCAAGTTTATTGGTAAATACATTCAAGCTTAAAGAGACAGGTGCACCTATTAAGACCACTGTCAGGGTGTATGGCATTCCTAAATAATGGACAGTTTTATATGAAATAAAATATAATTTAAGTTTTCACAATGTTGTTACATTATAGGTTTGCTCATTTAAAAACTTCTTTTGCTGTACATATTGCATTACAGTGAAATATCCTTTAAAAATAAACACCCAATGAAAAGGCCTCATTGCATATGACTGTAAACAACAATGGATGCCTCCACGGTCTGTTTACTCAAGTACAAAACTTAAGTGATTTTGAACAAACATAAAAAAGGTTTGCAGTGATAAACAACATGCCATAGTAACTTTACATTGTATTTTATTTTATGATCAAGTTAATATAAAAAAATGCACTAGTTAAACAGCTTAAGGGCGTCAAAACTAATGACTCTAGGATAGAAAGAAGAGTCTTGTTTGTAAATTTTTGGGAGCATGAGGCAAATCTTAAAAAAGCAGCAATTATCAATCTGTTTCTGATATTAATTCTTTATATTAATTAGTAATTGTAACATCTAGTCCAATTGTATGGGGATATCGTTATTATTCAAATGTCTCTGATAATACAGGGCTCATCCGGAAGGGCGATTCAGGCGAAAACTTTGCCGTGTATATTCCAATTTCGCTCTTCCGATTGATCAAAGAGAAGTCAACATCGCCGATAAAATCTTAATTCCCAAATAGTAATTACTTAGCGATGTAAAGAGCAGAGATTGTATCCGCCCATATGACGACCGCTAATTATCATTATCCAATCAGAGCGTCGCTTTATACTACCCTTCTACCTGTAAGCGAAGCGATAGACCGTCTACTCTAAACAGTAAATAATGAGAGCATCGGCCCGAAACGGTATAATTGTGTGATAGTTTTGCGAGTTTAATACGGGATTTGGCGATAATTATACATTGTTTTTTCCCCGATTATCTAAACATGTGCAATCTTCCCATATCATACCTAATTGATATACACGATGCACTTCGATGGTGGGTTTTTAACCCTTGTAAAGGCGATGTGCAATGGATTTTTCACGGCTATCACAAAACTGTTAGTCAATTAAAAATAATAAATTTCGACGGGATTAAAAACTTAATCATAGTTTTGAATGATGTCAGTCTGTTAACATCAAATTTTTACTGTAAAATTGTTATGTTGCTCACGTCATGGCTACAGGGCGAAATGCCCAAACCAAGCAGTAAAAGAAAGTTACTGATTCTGATACACCTACGCGAAAATTTAAGAAAACCATTTCGCAAAAATCTTGCGATTGGTATGTTGTAGACAGTGGGGGTGTTTGGCATTGTTGCCAAATTTGACACAGTTTACGCACGTTGGCTAAACTACATATCGGTCGTATATCATGTAACGTATATTACAATAAAAATTTGTCAAGAAGAAGACAGGGTTCGAATTTAGGCACGCAAACACGCTAATAGCTTGTAGAAATTCTGAATAGCGAGTAACAATAAAAGACACTCGCATTTATTAGCGAGTGAATAAAAAACGGACCCAAATCAGGGGTTTTTTTTAGGAAAAGGGGAAGACGCTGGACGCTGGTAGGGAGGGGAAAAAATATACGAAAAAAGTCAATTTGGGGAAACTTTATTATGACGTTATTTATACTATATACTTAACTACATAGTAGAGAGTTACAACTATATCTTTTTCCCTTAAAAACTTTATCATCATGCAAAATATTCTTTGCAGTATATAACATATTTTCTTAATATGTATGGTGGTGAATGGTTTTTATACTTCTATTTTTATATGAAAGTTAATACAGTATAGGTATAATAGATGTATTTGTGACACACTTTAGCTCCATATAAGTCATTTTCATAATAAGAAGTACAAAATAATATTACTTTACTAAAATAACCAAGAAAATGACAATATTTTGATAGCAACTGATTTCCAGAAATAGTACCGTTCAGTACGGGATATAGCCAAGAAAAAAATGGCTGCCTCCATGTTGAGACAGTACTTGCAGTTTCCTGCAATGTTTTTGGTTATTTTGGACAACAATTGGTGGTTTATCCTGCATAAAATGAAGAAAAATAATATTTTAAACCATGTAATTATTAAATCTGATCCAGTTTAAAGGAAAATAGAATTTTTTGGGGGAAAAAACTTGGCTATTTACCGAGGGGAAGACGCCGACTATCGGTGTCAATTTGTTAGTAAAAAAAACCCCTGCAAATATATAAAAGTCTTCTTTTCAATAAAATGTTTGTGTAAAATTTGAAACAAAACTTAAAACACCGCAAAATAAAGACAGTCTTGCGCATTTTCGCTATAAAGACAATTGTGGAAATCCGATTTTTAGGGGGTTGCCCATTCTTTGGGCATGTGCGTGGAAAAAATGACGTCAATCGGTACCCGCCACTGCGATTCGTAGATAATTTTGTAACCGTCTCTGATTGGTCTTTATAAATAGACATGTACTGGAAAATCCAACTCCCGTTATGCTTGTTTGATTGTTTGTTTCATTTTACGCCTTTTCCGATCAGTATTTCAGTCTTATAGGCGGTCCGTTATGCTTGACTTTATCACGTGAAATAAACAAGGTCAAAATGTCTCAAAGTCTTTAACGAATTTTCTAATGACGAAACGGCCGGCGGACAAAACTGATGGAGATTCTATTGCATATCAAATATCGAGGAAACGTCTGAGAAGGCAGTAACTGCAAGCTTAAAAACTGTAGGAACTTAATGTTCACCTGGATATTGTTATGGGTGATTCATCAACCGTGACTCAAATGGCCTGCAAAACATGTAAAATGTTTGCACCTGCAGACAGAGTATCTAGACTAAGGAATTTATATTTAATTAGATTTTCTGTCTATTTATTAACCAGAATGGAAAGAAAATATGGTCTTGCCCCTTTCTGTCCATTATGTTCGTCTTGTAATGTCCAATCTTTTATATGGTCTTGGGAGTGGGTGGGGGTGCAATAAAAACTGCCTAGGCTAGGGAGGGGTATCGCCATTTTTTTGTTAGGTTGTAGAAACTGCCTAGGCTAGAGCAGTAGAGGGGTAAGACCATATTTATTTAAGAAGGCTATCACCAGCATAGACATTCTATTTCAACATTACATGATCCATGGCATTATTCTCTCATAATGAAGTCAGTTTTTTTTCAAAAGCTTATGACTGTTGTCATTTATAACAACCACTTTATCCAATGCAATGGTCAGAGAAAGAAGAGGCCAACTACAACTCCATATGGCCCGAGAACTTGATATGATTTTTACATCATATTTTAATAAATTTGCGTTCTCAATTTCAGCTAGTCACTTCTAATTTTAGCTAGTAAGCATAAAATGCACAAGCTAATTTTAGCTAGTAGTAAATATTGCTAAATTCGAACCCTGGAAGAGTTCTTATTGTTTCAATATACATATTTGTTTTTATGTCGTAATATGACGCTCAGATTAAGATTTATCAATATTGTAAGTTTTAAAAAGCATTATTTATTTATATATTACCGAATTTAACATTTCATGAAAATAAAGGGAGGTAATTAGAAATTAATTTTCTACAATTTCTCAGTCAAATTTTTCAATAAGAAATGAATATATGTAATTTTAGTGATCAAATATAATGTGCACAAATGTTTGCAGTACATATTTTACATACTCTTTGATGTTTGAAAATTGTTTTATAAGCATAATTATATGCATATAAATCTGACATTACAACATTCAGGACTCTCAAATGCCAGCCCGCATAGCTCAATCGGTTAGAGCGCGAGACTTGTAATCTCGACATAGTGGGTTCGATTCCCGGGCTGGCCAAATAAAATTACTTATCAGTCTTTCGGATGAGACTTTAAATTGAGGTTTGGTGTAGGAGTGCTTAAACACATGGCACAATAAGCTTCTGGAATCGGGGCATCTTTTCTGTATCTGTAATTTGCACTTTCCTCCAAATATCTAAAATGACTAATACTCTTCTGGGGACTCGCCCATATGGGCAACCGGTGGCGAGTATAAATAAACGCAAATACACACACACAATCAGGACTTTCAAAGAAATTTCTGTTACCAGAACAGAATAGAACAGATTTTATTAATCAATATCCAAGGTGACTTCATCTTCTAATAAAAGTGAGGAAAGAAAAAATATGAAATTGATTTTATCATCATATCTTTTCTTACACATTATTATCAACAAATGTACATGAAAATATATAAACACATATTTAGAGAAAGCTTATATATAGCTGATCAATAGATATCAAAAATAATTTTTTATATTCATATTTGCAGCTC